GTAATGAAAGGGTCTGCTTCATTATTGAGAAGAAGAAAACCCTCTTCCAATGTTTGTCCTTATTTACCCTGTATGGTTCATCTGAACTACCTCCTGAAAGTTGTTCACTATTTTATCTGTTTGTCCTCCTCTTGGCAAGAATTATTTTTATGTCCATTTGGGATGTTTTAATAAAAAAAATAAACAATCCAATTCATTGAAACATTACCTTTGCTTAGATGTGTGACCGTGTCATTACACTTTTTTTAATTTTTACTTTAATTATTTACAGTACTGTACTTTGATTAGCCAGTGGCTTTTATGTTATGAATGTCGAGCATCTAGATATCATGTGATGATCATCCCAGTTTGGTGTGATGGAATCTGTAACATATAGATTATGTTAGAGCTGTTAAACCCATTGATCATCTAACATCATTCCAGGAAGGAGTCACTCATACTCTTTTCACACTGGTTTTGCTTAACCCCGTACTTTGCTTAGCCCCGTACTATCCTTAACCCCGGACTATTTTTGGGGGCTTTTCACACTCGCTATTCCGGAATAAGAAAATTCCCGCTGTTCTCACTGCATTTCGTTAACCCCGGATATCGTGAATGTTATTATTGGACATACTTCGCATCTGGCCAGCTCCGATACGCTCCATTGCGTAGTACCGGACTATTTTTCGTTTCTGTTCTCATTCATTTGCTTAGCACCCCAATTGCGGGGTTAGCAGGAGTTAGCACCACAATTGCGGAGTTAGCCCTGCTATTTTGCAGGGTTAGTTAACCCCGTACTATAGGTGGGGTTAGCCAACTTTAGCCCACTTTAGCCCACTTTGGTAAAAACCAGTCTGAACAGAAAGTGGAATAGGCTTAACCCCGTACTATAGGTGGGGCTAAGACCCCCCCTTAACCCCACCTATAGTACGGGGTTAAGCAAAATATTGCCAGTGTGAAAACAGTGTCAGATCTCATGTAACGCTCCTCAACATAGGGTCATAGGAAGAAATCAAAGTCGTCTAGTTTCCTTTAATGTCTACTCGTTTAAGTAGGATTACCAGCGCACTGTACTGGTTGTATATGCTGAAAGTCACCTTCAAAGGTTTTTTTTTTTAAAGGCACATTTGTATTTAATCATATGGAAATAATTATTCCTACACTTTATTCAAACTCAGTAGACTGATAGGGGAAACATTGGTGAAAATAATAGAAATAATTAAATCTACTTTTTAAGTTTAAACTCATTTGGTTTAAGGAAGAAAAAAATGTTGAACAATAATGGCGTTGTAACACTTGTTGTTATTTGTTTTAAAATTTATCATTGTGGGAAAGTTGAAACTAATCAACTATGAATAAATTCTAACCCAAAGTGCTTATTAGACTAATATTCAATGGTCACAATTAATCTTATGAGATCAGAAAGGAATTGATATGATCATTTTTAATCAGAGATTAATCCTGGATTTAATAGGACTGTACAGCATGCCTATTAGCCTATGTCATGCTTCACTCCAGCCTAATGCTTGGTAGTAGAGCTATATTCAGGCCAATACACTGTCTGTAGGAAATCCCAAACCAATTTTGCTATAGTGATAAATTGCTCTGACTCCTCTTAGCTTTGTTTTGTCAGCAGTATAACATTAGGGTAAGGGTTGCAAATGCAAAATGGTTTTATTCCAGCTTTATGGTTAGGGTTGTGTACAGGGGTTGGGCCCATGGTTGAAGTTCAGAATTTTAAGAGTAGGAAATTGATCTGGAGCAATTGTTGCAGGAGCATGTGTTGTATTACCTGAATCTCAATTTTAACTGAATAATTGGTTTTCAACATTAGCATCCTTCAAACGACAGGATTCTGACTTTAACTTTACAAGTGAACCATACTTCAACTTCTCTTTAGATATGTGTACAGTTTGCAGATGATATATGATCTTCCCAGTGTACAGTTTGCAGATGATATATGATCTTCCCCAAAAATGAGGTCCATTTAGGAGTTAATTTTGTTGGTGATGTTGCCATGGGCATTGGGATACATGTCATGTCTCTACACTGCAATACTAACCTTTAACACATTGAGTGAACTTTCTGAGGTATGTGTCTAGGTAATATATTCTTTCATAAAATGATTGCATCCCTCAATAATGATTCGCTAAATTGATCACCTCTTTTTTTCAAATTGGCAACATTACAATTTTCTTTTATTTTTATATCATTCTCATCAAAAGGCATGTACAAATGTATCTGAAAGGAAATATCTAGTATCATCACATGAGTGTAGAGGTTTTTAAAATTGCCAATGAGCAATAAAAACAGTGATATGCATCCCTCAAGAGGTTGACACTCTAAAGATTTTAATCTAAACCCTTATTTTCTCTTTTTGAAATTTAATGTTGTCAAATACAATGTAACAATGCAACAAAAATGGACATGTGTGTGCAGAAATCTTTGCTTTTTCTACTTTAATATACTCTACTAGTATATTCAAGTCTCTGAATCAAAAGTTATTTAGGCAATCCACAAAATGTATGTAATTGCAATGAAAAGGTACACAGAATTTGATAAATTAATTCTCACTAGATGAATAGAAATTGACCTGGATGCAGACTGTGCATTTGTTAGCCGTAGCAATTATCAAGTTATGAAACGTCTAACCTGATGAATTTCACAAGGTGGCTTTGGTATATAACTTGGATTAATGTAGCAAGAGGATGGACTACATAACTTTTAATTGAAAGGAAATCTTGTCTCAGTAGATGTGTAGTAGACGTGTCTGTGATATATAAGACACTTCAAGATGTATTTCAAGTTGAAATATCACGTAGGCCGGTAGACGACCTTACTGTCTATAGGCCTTGCTTTGACTTGAGCGGGCAAAATGTGGGTACATAATGCCATGTGACCACAGGTAACGAGCAGGTACGTGCTTCTGTCTCTGCCGCTCTAACATTGTTTTTGTTCTTATATGATTATATATTCTTATATGAAGTTAGGCTTCAACACCCTTGTATGACCTCCCAGGGATGGTATAATCAATAATTGTACTATGTGATGGAGCATTCAGTAGGCCCACCAATCAATAGAAGTACTCTAGTTTCAAAACTAACTTTATAAAGGGATTGGGTTATTATATTCTCTCTACTATATGTGGGTCGAAATGATCAGACAAGATGAAGTTAGTCTGACTCGTCAACAGAACATGGTATTCTACTGCCTGTTGAGAGCCAGAAGGACATTAAGTATGTGTTGAATAATGTGAGTTAAGACCCTTTAGCAATCCAACTTTAGCTTACCAGACACTTTCATCTTAGTGCTTTTTACTGGCTTTGCTCTGTTGAAGCCTTTATTTGTTGAATAAATCTTGAGATAATAAAAGTGTTTTGTGTACTGCTAATTATTAGTAGACTAATGTTATAACTTATAGAGTACTGAAGCTGTGACGTCATAAAAATCAATTTTTAGAATTTCTCAAATTTTTCTCCATATTCCGAACGAACACCAAAAATAATGTCCAAATGTCGAAAACCAATTGAATATGTTAAGTATTGGCTGAGATATGACCATCTGAATAAATATACTCCCAATAGGAACTCAGTGTTATATGCTCTGGCTCCTAATGGTTAGGAGCCAGAGCATATAACACTGAGTTCTCCCATAGGACATAATTATATTCATTCAGATGGTCATATCTTGGCCAATACTTAACATATTCAATTGGTTTTCGACATTTGGACATTATTTTTGGTGTTCGTTCGGAATATGAAGAAAAAATTGAGAAATTCTAAAAATAGATTTTTGATGACTTCACACTTCACCACTCTATTGAAATGCATTCCCATCCAGATGTAGTGAAAATGATGACTCTTAAGTTGATAATACTTTTTTATAACAATCCTGTTGAGGTAAACTACCAGCATTGATTTTCATGATAACAACTACGTTTTTTCCCCTACTGTTTAAAAAGTTCTTAGATATCTACGCAAAACACTTCGGTTCTGAAGCGACTGCATGTTGTCACACTTGATTCGTGCAGTACCAAATTAGTGAATGAGTTAATCAATATGATGAATTACTGAATCCATCATGTTATAATTAAGTGTATAATTTTGTATTCGCTATGTAATTATTGACATCAATTTCATCATCCTGTATGATTCTATCCTACTATAAATTGTTTAAAAATACTCATAACCCCAAAACCTGAGGAAATTGCAGTGTCCTTCAAGAGAGAATGAGATATCCATGTTTTGATTTTTAAGTGGTGAAATTGGTATAAATTTACTGATATTCTTCTCGCAGTCCTGTAGTTTAATCGCTTTATCTTTGATATTGACCTCCATTTCATCATTCCATATCTGTTGTTAAAGAGTCAATATTTAGCTGATAATCCCTTTATCAAGAGGTTTGGTTTCTCCTAAGGATATTATTTACATTTACTTTTTCCACAATATTGACATTGGAGTGTCCTACTGGTGTCATTGTAGGCTTATCTTGCATCATAACAGAGCAGAAAAGTTGATTAATTTAAAAACAGATCATTAGAATTAGTCCATTATGTTTTGTCCCATACATGAAGAACTGCGCCAAAGATCTTTATGCTTTTCATAGCTATTAGCTAGTACTTGATAGCTCTATTAAACTAAAATACCAAGAAAAAGAATACTTCCCATTTTGATCATAAGAACAGTGTTAGGGTTATTTGTATAATACTGTAAATATATATGTTATTAATTAACTTGTGAACATAGCCCCTGTAAATTAGCATGTGCTTCTTAAAATCTGCCTTTTTTTCATAGGAAATGTATTCTTTTTTGTAATTATCCTAGAAACTCAAAAAGTCCTAATTATTTCTGGCATTATCGGCTACATAAATCAAACTTATTGAATTCCAAATAGCCTATACAGATGAATGACACTACTTTATAAAAAAGCAAGTTTCGCATATTCTTGACATTAACTTTTCCCTTATATAGTATGTATAATTTGTATATCTTGCTACATTTCTTATTTTTCTGACTGTCTAGGTAGTAGTTGCCAACATTCTGGAGGAGAGACGGAGGAAGGTCACCGTTATCACTGCAGACTCGGAGACAGAGCTGGAGCTCTCTGAAGAACAGATGAAGGATGGCAAGGAGCTGGAAGACGTTTTAGTCCAAGATCTGGTAGCCAAACATGGAGCTTTCATTCAAAGTGCTCAAGGAAGGTGATGATGATACTGGTGATGATGTCCTCTATGAGTAGGGAGGAGATGATGAGGATGATGAAGAGGAGGAGGATCAAGAGGATCAAGACGTTAGCTTGGGGCGGACTGAGACCGAAATTCAGTTTGGGAATGTTGATGTGAGCGGCCCACTCAACCTATAAGATACATCAACGGGTGCCCTTGAATGAGAAGTCGGTCATCTCTCAATTTAAAATATCAAGTGGCCCATGGGAAATACTCCCAAAACTCTCCAAGCTCCCCATGGTCAGTCTACCCCTGATGATAGAGGTGAAAATGGTGGTGATTCAAGCATTCAAGTTCTCTTCAAAGTACTCTTCCATCTGGTATTCTTTCTTAAACCTATATTCCTTATCCATTCTTCAGCCATCCATTCATTGTATTTACCATCTAAGCAGGTATACCTAGAAACGTAGTATTAGGCGCATTATAAATGTGAGCTATTATTATTATTATTACATTACATGACTAGAATTATTATATTTACTTCTACATTCTCATAATGATTTATAGCATTTTTTATGTTTTGAAGCTCTTTCCAATTTTATTGCACATGCATGTAAATTTGGAAACAAACTTAAGGCCTACCGTCTGAAGAAAAGCCAATTTTATATCAATAATTCACCTCTAATGTACCGGCTTTGTGGAAAACTAAACTTTTCAGGGTTTTTGGGGGTACAGATTTTAACTAAGTTTAGTGACATTATTAATAAGAAAATTTTTCTGAAGAATTTCTATACCTATGATTATAATTGTTAATCACATTCATTGTGTAAAACATAGCCTTGTGTTAGAATATGACAGCATTTATTGGAGCATTGATTTTTAAGACATTTGGCAACCATACAAGTTTTAAAGTTGGAACAACTCCATATCAACAAGTTTTCCATGATAGGCCTCCAATTAGTCACTTGTCCGTTAGGAGGTGCAGCGTTTGATAATCACATGTTGATCACATGATTGTGCTTATGGAACCAGAGGTGAGAGATGCTTACTTTGGGAAATACATGTAGTATACAATATACATCAATGTATTTGACCATAAGACTATTTGATTCCTTGACCGGAGAGCACATCTGCACAGGTATGACAAAATCTTTGATAAGCAAGAAAGAATAAAAAGGGGAGGGGCTTACATGTATGTGTAAAAATGAGGCGCACTTTTGTTGGGTAAATGTATGCCAGGGTTTGTTTGGTGCACATACACCCTGCCCTCATGTGTCTCTTCCCCCCTCCCCCAGACCCCCACTGCTATTTATTTATCCAATGTAATACAATTATACCAAAAACCTTTTGCTTTGAGCCAAAGAAGAAACTTTGGGGAAACGGATTAGTGAAAGTTATAGAAAAGTCAAACTGAGCATAAGAATGGTCTTTACAGTTAGATATTTCAGAGAATTTTGTTTTGTTACAGAAAAGCGGTAATTGTTGACCTAATTTATTGTTAGAATTAAATGCAGTTATAGAATGAATATTGATATATAAGTTCCTCTGTATTTGTTCTTGTGAACAGTTGGCAAAATATATTTTTTAATTAAAATTGCCTCTTTGGTATTCCATGTCTAATATGGTAAATTTACCCCTTTACTATTTTTTGTCTTATATGTCTGACTGGTATTTCTTACATAACTGATAGGAAGTGAGAATTTGCTTTTGTGCCTAGTTTTTCCACTTCACAGTATTCAAGAAATTCTACCAGAGAGAGAGAGAGAAATAAATTTGTGTGTGTGTGAGAGAGAGAGAGAGAGAGAGAGAGAGAGAGAGAGAGGGGGGGGGGGAGGGGGAAGGGGAGAGGACTCAAGTGTAATGTGGAGTGATGAAATGTAGCTATATAAATACTGAACAGGAATGATTAATGAGGAGTGAGAAAAACATCCAAGGAGTGGCAAGAGGATATATTATAGAGGTAATTGCAAGAGCCTACATGTCTGTGAATGTGTCTAACTTCCCAATTCTGAACGGAGAAAACGAGCAACATCAACTTTCAGTCTACATATTATAATGATGCAAACAGTAAGCCATACAAATTGTACAGCATTAAAATGTTGTACAAAAAAATAAAAACAAAAGCTATGCATGACTTTGAAGACATAAGACATGTATGTCAAATTGACACATCAATCTAATAATGTGAAAAGATGTTATTAATTTGGTACACTTGCTCTTTGAGTTATCAAGAATTACAGGAGCGTAATTATTAAAGAATTAAAAAAGCATTTTTCACTCATTTTCAAGTCGAATCTTTAGGGCTGCAGACATAAAAGATCATCTATGAGATAAATGTAGTGCCTAAAGGGTTAAATTCTCCAATACATGTGCCAACTGAGCGAAAAGGACTCAAACATTTGCTCTGGTCACAATTGCTCTGGGCTCTATTTCATCAAAGAGGTTTAGGAATATAGCCAAATTATACATTGCAAATTTTCCCCAATTTTCTTCAAATACGTGTCCCTGCCATTCAATTTGTTAAGGTGCTCTAGATTTCTACCAGCTGTGACAGTGCTTGCCATAGAGCATTTTATTTTGAATTTGAAATACTTCTCGGGCAAAAACTACTCTTGATACTCTTTGAAAATAAAATTTATCTCTCACCATCTCTCTGAAAAATAAAATGGATCATAGCTCATATTTTTTGTCTCTCTACAACTCTCAAAGTTCTGTGTTTATTGATATGGATCTGTCTTTCTCCTTTCCATTGCAAACCATTTCTTCCAAGTTCTTTCTGTCTCTCACAACTATATCACCTTCACTGTAAAACACTTTAACTCAACAAAGTATCATGGAGATTGTTATTAAGTCTTTGGCTCATTTATTAAGCATCAATAGAAAACAAAATAGAAAATAAAATCAAACAAAAATACAACTGCCATATTACAGAATACAGGTATTCTTCTTTTCTCTATAATCCTGAACATCAGAAATCTTTGAATGGATCACTACATGTAAAGCCAGGCACATACGATGAAGACATATATTAAGTTTACTACACTTTATGTATTTATACAATATACATAATGCAGCATGCTATAACACAGTATGTTGAGACATTTCACAAAAGCCATGAAATGACTTCTTCAGAATCAGAGAGGCACTTAGGTGTTCAATTACAAGCTCTAATGCCTTTCTGGCTCTGAACCATCACAAGCTAGGATATTAATTATATCATTCATTGGTATTACCCTGGATTGGATTTCATTGCACTCTATATAAATAACATAAGTCAAGCTGGGGTAAAGGCAATCAATGACATTGTGTGCGATAAATGACAGGTATTTTAGTTGTCCAATGGAGAATACTTCTGTTGAAAACAGAAAAATGATGATATGATTGTCATGGTCAAAAGATTATTCATTGATGATTGGCAGTGATTCGACCAAAAAGCAATATATGCAACAGCCAAAACTTCCTACCGATATTTGCATGTACAGAACAACCCTGAATGAATTCATTAAATATAATGCAACTTACCCTGTTGTAAAATGATACAGCTATTGTAGGAAACACTATTTTAAGTCTTCAAAAATGTTATTTTGGGTTATATTTCTGAACAGGAAAGTTTTACTGTTGATATTCTCAATGTTCTGTATTGCCATTTGAAAGATACTCATTTCAGATATCGCCTACAAGTTACCCATTAACATGTACATTCACGAAAATAAATATGTGTCAAACAATGAGATTTCAGTCATTCAGTCACAAAGCAAAATAAATAATTTATGTAACAAAAATACATATGCTGGAAGATGTCTGACCAGTCCAAATGATGGAATGTTTCAATCTACACTACCTCCAAATAACTACATGCTGTACAGGAGGATTGTGATTTTTTTTCCATGTCCAATGTTTTCTTTTTTTAAATTACGAAAAGAGGGGGATGCTTAATTAATGCAACTGAGTACAATATGTTGACACTTTATATATAAAAAATGTTTTGATAAATTTCTCTATATTTACAGATTTCACCAGATCATCTTGTTGATTGAGAACATAAGAATTAAGAAGGAAAAAAAAAGGATATTGACAAAGTCTGGTGGCTAGTTATGTATGTATGCACCTTAATTTACGTTATAAAATTCTCAGAAGTGAACACATAATTTAACTAACCATTATATTATCTATATAATAAGTTGGACATATACATTAAAATTGAGGTCTTACTTAGGATATCCAGGTTGAAAATGATTTGCATCAGAAATGATGCCAGGGCACACTTTGGCATTTGCAAATATTAAAATCCGCAAATGAAGGACATTATTCTATCTTTCCAATTAATTGTAATTGTTGAAAAGAATACATGTAGTTGCTTTGTCCTACTTTTCCCCACTCATTTTTAAGTCTAGAATATTAGCAAGAGATGGGCTGTGTACACTAAGACATGTATATAAAAAAATATATTTCCTGCGCCATGCATTTTCTGAATCAGTGACTGGATGGAAAACAAATATATAAATATCGGTAATTTGCACTGCCCTAGAAATAATACACATGGTTAGCACGATATCTATGGTTTGGGAGTGTGTGGTCATAGGGTGCTCAATCGCTTAGCATCGCCGTTATTGCCAAGTTCCGAGGCGGGCAAAGTTTCTGTGCGGTCATTCACTACGTCATAGTGCACCTTGACCGGGGAAGCACTATTGCTGTGTACCAGTGGTTGCCCACTGATATTGTGGCTTCCTTTAGAGTTTGATCGGCATGGGCAACACCTCTTTCCCACGGAAAGGAGCTTGGATATAAGGCGATCCAGCGGTGAAAGGGAGTGCATCCAAAGGGGCAGGAATTCCCAGTCGAGCAGTTTTTCTGGTAGAGCTTGTGGCCGTTTGGCTTGGAGGGTGTTGACCACTACGACAAAGATAGTAATCAAGATGATGGGAACACCTACACCTAATAAGCACCACACACTGATGAGCGAAAGACCGAAGATGGAGAGGGGTAGGAAGAAGAACATGAGGATGAGGTACATGATGGCGAACCAGCGGTATTTTGCGGTGGTGTTGCCCAGCTTCTTGGCCAGCATGATTGGAATATTTCTCATTATAGGGATGGGATACCAGAGGAGAATGCCAGAGATGTTGAAGAAAAGATGGCAGAGTGCAATCTGGATACTGTTTTCCAGCTTGTCCCCAGAGCTGGCCATGGCAGCGAGTAGACCCGTCGCTGTGGTGCCGATGTTGGAACCCAGGGTCAACGGGTACATACGGTCAAGGGTGATGACCCCTACACCAACCAGTGGTGTCAGGGCGGAAGTGAAGACTGAGCTGCTCTGGACCAAGAAAGTGATGCCAGCACCGACCAGAATGGCAGCGTACCCCGTCAGGTGGCGGAAGGGTCCAGGGAAGTCTGCATTCAGGGTCTTACGGATGATACCAGCAACACGACCCTTGAGAAGGGAGTTAAGTGCCTTGACCATCATGACGAGACAGCTGCAGAGCATGACCAGAGCAATTACGAGGAGGATGCCACCGATAGCTCGATCTGACAGACCGGTATTATTGAAGATGAAGTGGCCTGGATAAAAGAAAAAAAAGGAGAAGGAAATATTAAAAGGTTGGTTTATTTCATAAAATACAATGCCAACAGATCTTTTTCATAATTATTTAGTAGATAGCTTATCATGTAAGGAGCATTTGATTTTCTTGTTCCAATATGTAACAATTTATGAAGTTAAAAAATTCATCCTTTCAAACTTAAAAAATATGCTTGATTCCTTTGTCTATTATCAACAAGTATGACTCAAAACACATAGTGTAACTTTAAAATAAAAAATAAAATATTTCTTTATACTTACATTTCTCAACATTGATCTTCACCATCTGGGTGATCTGTCCCGAAGCGTCTGTGGTAGGGTTGCCACTGGGAGGTGTTGATGTACCAGTAGCGTCCCACCATACAGGATATCCAGTAGTAGTCTTATTAAATCCAGTGTCAGTGCCGGAGGTGTTGAAAACATTTCCCCAGCCTCCCCAGCCTCCCCAACCGGTCGTATAAGTAGGAGGGTAAGCAGTGGTGTTGGCAATGTAGGCATTGGCTGTTTGGTTGACAATCTGAGGGACCTCTTCTGTCTTGCACCACACTTTCAGGAGGGACTGGTTCTCAGCCTCTAGCTCTCCAGTCGCAATCTGGGAAATTTTCTTGCTGTCAATCTAAAGAAAAAGATAACAAAAGAAATTATTTAGAAACGTAACAAATGTTATGATTTTCTTTTTAAGAGGATGTATTTCAGACTTGATTCTGTGCTGCTCGACATGACATATTAAAATCTAATTTGTATACTGGCTACCTAAAACGACTCCCTTTAGGAAACATATAGAACATGTCCTGAAAGTCTTTATGTCTTTACACTGTCAACTTTTCTGCTTGCCTTAAGGGTAACCCTACTTTGGGTACACATATTCAACTGTATAAAATCATCCTTTGTATCTTAAAATCACATTTTTTGAATTTTGCATTATAATAATAATAATAGCTAGTTCTTTCTTATATAGCGCTTTTCAGGACCGAAGGCCCTCTCAAAGCGCTTATCAGATATATATATATATATTATCAAGATTTTAGTTTCTAAACGAACTGAACAAAGTCGTGTTCTCACCTGTATGATTCTCAAGGAGAACGGTTTGGTCAGCACCTTCAGCAGTTCCAACTTGGCACCCTTCTTGGTCTCAATTTTAAAGGAAGCAACAATGAGGTTGGTCAGACGATAGAGGTAGCCGGTTGCATACTCCAGAGGCAACAGACAGATCACCGAGAGCCAGTTGAACATGTCGTGGACAACCGCCCCACCGAAGGCACGACGGAACTCTGACCTGTTACCAGACTGGGCCATGGACACGATGGTGTTGGTGACAGAGGTACCAATGTTGGCTCCCATGATAATGAAGATGGCAGGTCTGACAGGCAGGACTGGTTTGAAAAATAAAATTAATAAATCATTTAACAATTGTGATCAGTTCATTGGAAAAGAAAGAAAAAAAAAACTGCAAAAACATACTTCATTTTTTTCCTGCTTGAACTTGGGATATAACCTTGGTAATTCAAAGGGGATTAGTCTCTACTTTTTTTCCTCCTTGACTTTTCAACTTAATTTGTTCAGCCTGCACACATTACTGCAACATTAAGATTATAACAAATTACTCCCTTTTTCCCAACGAAATAACTATTCAAGCAAAACTGGGGAAGAAAAAATCTGGCAAACTTACTTCCAGCCGCTACAATGCTGACAACGATAGAGGTTGAAGTGGAGGAGCTTTGGACTAGGACGGTAGCCAGGATGCCGATCATCAGACCACAGACAGGGTTGTTGAGAAGATCGTTCTGGGAGAAGACTTCGCCAGCCTCTTTACCCCCAAGGAGACGGAAAGCAGAGCTCATCAGATCAAGGGAACAGATGAAGAAGTAAAGAAGTCCAATGATGAGAACAGGCTTGAAGATCCAGCTTACTAACACTCGGCTCATCTTGCCACAGCATGTTAGCTCTATAATTATAACAATGAAAAATGGGATCGATTCATTAGCTTTGATGAAGCTAACTTAGGACTGGCAAAGAAACAGGATTTTTCGACAAATCATTGAACAAATAAGCTAATGCAAATAATAATCTTAATGAACAAAAATTGATCTTTAATCAATTCTGAGTATTGGATAATTTGGATTGAATAAATAATAACTAAATAAATATACATCGAAAAAAATCCATCATTCAATTATTTAAAAAATGCAAAAGCTGTTCAAACAATGTAAGAAAATCTTGTAGACATTCTCAACTGAGTAAATAAATCGTACTGATAAATGATAACAGATTATCAGCTTAGAGTAAACATGATCTGTTTTCGTTAACGCTGTATTTTTTGTTCTTGGTGTAGTATTAACAATATAAACTTGTAAAATACAACCAAGGTGATATACCGTTGTCGTTTTTACTACATTCATTTTCAAATTTTCATCTCCCCCCCCCCCCCCCCCCCCCTTTATTGGTGGACAACAGAAAATAATTTGCAAATTGCAATGCAAACAAATATTTCTTTCTTTCTTGCTTCCCCCCTCTTCTGCAAAGACAAATAGCATTGAAAGCTAAAACCCATTTTTACACAGAAACACATGGCAGGATTAAACTCCCAAAATAGAAAGAAAGATGTTTCTCTGTTCCTCATGGAGTTGGACAAATAGCATAAAACTGCATTGCTAATGAATTCTGTGTAAGGACTAAGGATGAGGTCATATCTTTCTATGGCGTGATGCATCACATGTACATCACAGGGCAAACTCACTAGTAGCTACTACTAGACACACACACATGCTGTACATGTATCCTGCTCCGTAGATTTTCAATCCATCCTTATACGTCAATGCACACACTTTCACACACTACACACAACTGGGTGCCCACGCCTATGGAATGCATTCAGAGAATTTCTTCATTGTGCTTAGTGTGCGAATAGAAGGGAGTATACAGGGAAGTTACCTACACCGGTACCGGCATTTTGTGGAGCGCCACGTGGGGAAAGATCGGACTGCATTGAAATGCTCTTTTATAAGTGTAAGATGTGTCATGTATGATGCATATGGCTTTCGAAGGAGAGTATTCCATCAGTATATTAAGCATATGGTACTTAAGTTGAAAGCAGGTTGTACATTGCATTATTTTTTTTGGGGAAATATGGGCCTTTCAGAATTATATAAAAATTAATGCATGCTGTGATCATATCAATTAAAGTCACAGTTAAAATAAAAATTACCATAACTTACCAACTAGATCTATTCACCCCACCCCAACAAAGATTTTTTATTGAAATCTGTAAAATGCCTTCTTAAATTTTAAATTCAACAAAGAACAAACCAAATTAAATGAAAATAAAGTTCAGAATAAGCTGATAAAATATTATCAGTCAATCTGTTAGATGGAATAAAGAGATCTATTAGAAAAGTCTCTTTATATTTCTTCATGGGGAATCAATGTGAGAATAATTAATAGATTGAATTCCACAATGTCAACAATTATGTTATCATCAGACAGTAATTCTATAGGTAATGTGTGTTGTGCTTCATAATCTCAAAAGAATATTAATAGCGACAAAAATACAAATCTTTGAATTAATTTTATAATTCATGAAGTGCAAATCTGTATAAACCATGTAAAGATACATGTGGAAATACATTTTGGTCTACGAGAGGAAAGGGTATTTGCCCAAACTCTACTACATACATGATGTATGTATACTATTTACATTTCCACTTCAAGAAAAAATGGGGTAGACTATATCATTTATAATCAAATTTCTCACAATCTTGGCTAAGTAAGGAATGTCAACTAGACTCTCAAACTACTCAAAGTTACATGATTTACATCTACAACATTAATCACAATGTAATGTCCAACAATTCCACAACTCGATCAAAACTGAAACAAAGGACTACACTGTCGAATAATTTATTGGACATTGTAAATAAAAGTACATCCTGCCTGTCTTTATCCTTTGAGAATACAATCTCATTATCTAAGACTAAAACCAAACTCAACAATCATTTTCATCATAAAAGACTCGATCCATCCAAATTCCAAACCTTAAAAATGATATGAGCTTGATTAGTGATTACCCTAATTTAACAACTAATCCAGTCTATGTCTGTTAAAATAAAAAAATATTAAAACAGCTGTTTTTCTCATATTATTATTATCTTAAGTAATTATCTACTTCACGATGAGAAAACATTTTCCAAACACAAAATGGATGGGAACTAAAGTAAATACCACATAAATAAATTACATATTTTGTTTAATGTACCTATTATTGTTATTATTTATTCGGCAAAAATAAAGAAAATCATTGAATACAAAACAAGAGTACATCGGTCTAGATCTACACGGATCTATATATGGAAAAGAGCCACATGGATGCTGGGAAAAGAAAAAGATTAACGGTAACTAACATTATGTTCTCATGTGAAACGAGATCTTACTTAGGCTTAGCTACTGTTCCATGTAAATACCGTAATGGAATAAGAATTAGACCCCTCTAGGCCTAGTACATTTTAAAATAAATGAGAATGAGTAGGCCTAGAATTTAATTTTTCTTCAGTAGAGTCTATGGATTTACGGGCCAATTAAATTAGGCTAGGCATACTGGGCATTCATGATATCTCAAGTCTTGATAAGTTGATGTCTTTCGAGCTTTTTCTACACCTTAAGTCCTCAGGCTAATCCTTAAATTAATATTAAACTCCCTTGATCATTGACATTGATGACTGGAAATGGAATACAGGTTTATTGCCTATAAGGCTATAGAGGTCTAGACCTATCTACATGTAGAATCAGTATTGGCATTGCTTGGCCAACAACAATTTGCTGCTTTTGATGATTTGATCTAGAGATTTATAGTGTAGGCCTACTGTAAAAGCCAGTAAAAAAGGATAACAAGTGACAAATATCTCCCACAACAATCTGCTAAGAATTATTCACTCTCCCATCAACCACAGTCTAGTCACTGACTCGAGGTGAAGCCAACATCAATGATTCAGTTCAATCTCAATCAACATGATCAAAACAGAGCAGGTTTATTTTATCTTTCACTCTGTCTTTTAAATTCCATTTCATTTTCAGATACAAAATTACAATTAGGCCTACAACTATACAGAGACAAACTTGTCACAAAACAACGGTCCAACGGTCCAACGGTCTAGTCAAAAAGACAAAGTCTAAAGATTAACAAGTTATAACAACAAACACTTTAAGAAACAGTCAAAACTTTACAAAATAAAATAAAATGAAAAATGATATTGAATTCAAAAATTAAATGTCTTGAAACCATCCTGCAAATACTAAAATAGGTGCATGCCATGATTATTGACCGATTAAAAAATGAATGAACATACCATTCCAAGGTGTGCTTGTGTCTTTCAGTTCAGACAGGGCCCATGGATCCTCCACCTCCTCCTCCTCCTCATTGGCACCAGCAGGAGGCTGTTCGTCTGCAAGCAGAGTGCCATCTCGTTTCTTCTCCTTCACATTTTCGTCCAAATCCAAATCAAGAAGAACATCTCCGTTTGCAGCATCAGTGGCTCCCAAATCGACCTGAAATTACGAAAGACGAGAGAAATATGTAACAAACTTAATCAAAACAAACACCGGTCATGGGCCGGCGGTAGAATATGAAACATTGAGCTGACGTAAAAAAACCCAGAAGTTTCAGAACTTTTCAGACAAAAGAAATCTTCGACTTCATCACAAATTCATGGCAAAAATATGTGCAAATTACCTTTCGAACAACCCATTTAATTTGGTTTGTAGTAAGATCTTCCACAGAATAAGGCGGAGGTGGTGTTTGACTCGGACTAGGTATCCTCGATGGGACCAAAAGAGATAACATAACTTCAGAATCCTCCATTTCAGGAGTGCTACTTCTTGGTGGCTGTGTCTCTAGAAAATTGGAGGCAACCATCTTGCTCGAGTGTCAGACATTAAGTGAGATATTTTGTTAAGCGCCAAGTATCGCGTATTCGAACCCAGCCAATCAGCACGTCGCATATCGGAACCTCCCATGACGTATCCCTTCATTCATATAGTTATTCGGAATCAGACGTACATGTGATGGCTCGTGGTGTTCACATGATCAGCAAGTCCATTTATTTATAGGGGTGCTTGTACTCTCTTAAATAAATTAGGGTTACAGTAAGCGGCAATATGTTTGTCAGCAGTATCAATATTTATCCTCAAATACATCAAAAGTTTATTTTTTTAATTAAAATTTAATCTTATACTATCTATTTTTTTTGTAAATACACTAATTTTCAAACCTTTTACCCTCATTGTATAGTCGATATAGCCCAATCTCTCGTTGTAAACATACGGTGAATTTGAGCACGTGTAGAACATAAGATACTACCGATATCGTACCGTGGATCAACTTGTTATGTGTACTTTTCTTTTGTCCGTACGTCCGTTATATAATTGGCGCGGGCCCTGTTGTAGAATAGGAAGTATACTACTAACACGCCAGTATTGTTATTTTTTCCTTCGAGCTAATTGACATACATACAGGTGTATATCTTTTTTTTTTAACTTCCAAATGGGGTTTTGATATTTATAGATTATTAGAAATATTCAATGAATTTATAAAACATGACTGAAAACTTGAACAAAATAAAGAGAAAATTATAGTGACAAATGTCTTTAGATAATTGTTAAAATCATAATTATTAAAAATGGCCAACGCAGGTCACTGTAGTGATGGCCCCTATTCAATTTTTTAATTTGAGCAAATGAAGCGACGAATTCCTCCATTCACTTATAGTTATGCACGGAGGTATCCTAGAGCTATGTTTTGTGTGTGATGTCAATGCACTATCTTTGATCGCTATCTAGAAGTCTACATGCGTTTTGTCACGGAACTGGGATCGAAAGCATTTGAACAAGCATGTGTATTTTGTGGCAGTGGTATATAGAAAGAACACGGAACTACCTATATCATGTTGATGAGTTAATTTCCTTCATAAACATCTGAAATAACCAGATTAAATAAGCAAATGAATCCAGAACCCTGTCCTAGTCATGTCACATAAAAATAGTATAGTCTCGGAAGATTTCAATAGACGAATAAATAAATCTAATAACTATCTGACATGTCCTCCATCTAATTCACTAATAATTTTTGTTTAATTGAAGAATAAATTCGGAGACTGACAACGCAAAAAAAAAAGACATTTACTATAAAATAACGAAATAGTACTAATAGTCTAGAACAATTGTTTAATGTATTTATATAATTTTTTTTTCTTTCTAAATTTGTTTTGCTCATTGGTGAAGCTGCTGCCCATTCTATGCACATACATGCAATTATAAACATGCATTTTCCATGCTGATCACCGTGTATGTTGTATTTCCATTATTCATTAATGCGAGCATAACGATAATAGTTTTTGTTTCTAATTCTAAAGAATGAACGATTAAAAAACATAACAAAACAAAAACAAAAACAGAGGAGAGGGACAGGGTCCGAAGTTTGTCCCCCGGCACTTCCTCCTTCCCATGTTTGGCCAGTCTGTGGTGAATAATTCCTCCTTGGGTGAACTTAAACTTTCTCTCTCCTCCACATGCACGACCGCAGCGGCGCTTCGTACGAGAGGAAGGTCATGACTTCGGATAGCTGACCTATATAGCACTGACCATGGACTGACCTATTTCTGTTTCTATTTTTGTTTTGTATTTTGTTAAAATATAGGGATTTGTTTTTCCTACTGAGTGCTCATCTCCCCACCATTTATATTCATCCCTTCCAACATCTATCTAAAAAAAAAGTGGAAACTGTGTATGGAATTATGACGAGAGCTTGTATTATTTTGTGTGTCAAGATTAAACGAGGATATTCATTGTGTATAGCCTATGTATATCAGATGTGTTATGCACTTAATTTTGTCAAAATTATATCCCTCTAGTTCAATAACTGAATATTCCTGTCAATTATCTTTACGAATTAGATTGACATGACTCTTTTTACAGCCTAAAGATGTTCACCCGAAGTTCATTCATTAGTATAGTTTTTTTTAACGATGAGAAATTAAATCACATTTATGCTTCTTCCACCATAGCCCGGAGGTATATTTTTTGTTTGGGAGGGGGTATACATGGGGGCGTTCTCTCTCATATTTTGTTAATTTTGTGGCAAGGAGGGAATCGTCAGAACTGAAAATGGTTTGACAGCCGATTCCCTTATTTTCATTTGACCCTTACCATTTACGCCTTGAACTTGTATTTAAACTGCCTTGTTCAATGTATAATTTAGTCAAAATTAATTCAAAGATAATACGATCCGATTTTGTTTACCTCTCAGTCTTCTGAGCTACTCTGATCAGTATACATGACATTTTCACGCTATAGCAGGTTTTTATAACGGTACTTGGAGTTGAAGTTTTGTCAATGAAATCGTCTGTATCTCGCTCTTCAAAAGGCAAATACACAAAAAGCTCACAATTCAATCGATAAAGACCCTCCCCCTTGGTCTCATTCAGAGCTAAGCTTTTGTTTGCGCGGGGCGGGAAATTTGAAAAAGGTAAACAGCGGAAGCCAACTCTAGTTTGTATATGCACGGTTCACGCGCGGCGCCTAATGTCCAGTATTGGTGGTACTGGTACTTCTTGAGTACACGCATAGAGGTGGTAGGTACCAGCATTATTTCCCGATAGCTTGAGGTATAGACTCAACGTTTACCTTTTCAGCTTTCTTCTGAAGAGATTGCAATTAAATATCAGATTGGTTTCAGTTTAAAGCACCACTGGTTAGTTATAATCAGGGAGTTGGAATATGCATGTTTATATAATTTTCTTGTCCTTTTCTCAATATTGTGCGGGTAAACAATTTCAGTTGGATAAATGCCAAGTACTATAATTGAAATCAGAAAGCGGGAATAGTAAACCGTGAAGTGATCAGTGGTATGGTTTACATGCAGACAGTTATTGTTCACGTGCAAGGTAGATGGCAATTACATGGCTGTCATGATTTCATGATGATAGTTATACTCTCCCCCTTGAAAATTGAAACCGGATTTACTCGGCTATAAATTATTAATGGTCAAAACCGGACAAGGCCTATGATTTAATATACATACATATTTTTGTATGTGCGTGTGTATGTGTGTGTCCGTATGAATAAATATATAATTATCACAATATACACAAAAACACAACTATATAATTATGTTTTATGAGCATCTTAATTTTTTTTAAGGTAGAGATTGAGGGTATAGATAGATACACAGATTAATGTTATATATGAACATGCCCAACTATATGTTGTAACGATGTATACTTGTTTATCTTTTTTTAAAGGTTGAAAACAAGCATCTGCATGTGCTTGTAAATTCTTCTCATTAAAATTTTGCGACAATTTACATAATTTTTCTAGGCATTCTTTCCTTCAAAATATCATTTGGTGGAAAGAAATATGAAACTTGATAATAATGTAAATTGGAGTACACGTGCTCTTGCACATACTGTATCATGAGTAGAAAAAAAACCAACGCAGGATAATTTTGTACACAAATTATTTTAGCAATGAAAACACATTTTATGACCAAAATTATATACTGCATGCAAGTAATTACATCAGTAAATCGGAGGATGACGACAATAATTATTTTGTATGTAAGGTGAATCAACGGTATATTACTTTTTAGGCTACACGCCAACACGTCTTGCATGCACTCAATTTAATGTTTAAAAACGAAGGATAATTATTTTTTATTGATTATAACCTATGACAAAATGTTAGCTCTAATCTTCATGAATAGAAGACAGTCACATATACAACAAAAAAACCTAAGGAATTATTTTATTATTGACCTAATCTAAAATCTTCTATTTATTACAAAATCTAAAATATTCTATTAAAATAATTTCATGCCACGTTCAGGTTCTTCTTATTCATTTGCGAAGATATTCAAGATGAAAGGTATATAGGCAGAAGAGTGGCCATCCAGTTCATTAGGGGTCAGGGATTACTTCTTTTGGAATTGAATATAATATTCACTCTAAATTATAGTGAGACCCACTCCAAAGTTACGGTTAAATAACTCCTCTGAGAGTGAGCTTTACTTTATTGAGCAAGGATCCCAGCGTAAACGAAGCGATCCCTAAAAATAGGACCCTTCTAAAAAAAGATAACTGGGAAAAAAATGCACGATCAAGGTTTTAAGATGGATTATTATTACAGCTTTACCAACTACAATGTTGAAATTAAATAGCAGAAGGTGACTTTCACGAAGCTGGGTGTTATCTCGTCATCACTAATCAAGATAGCAGCCTGATTCGAAAATCAGATTGTGACCTTTGTAAACTGAGACGTCAGGTTTCCAGGGTATGGTTAGATTCATCATGGTCAAGTTCGTTCGTTCCACAAGCACGCCCTCACAGTTTATGAACAGAAAGGAAAAATGAAATGCTTCAGTTTATAACTAAACTTTTGACCAACGGAATCCGACCCTGTAGACGTATATTAAGGGGGGGGGGGTATTTCTAGTTATTTCTAGATTTATTTTAGAGGGGGGGGGGGGGTCAATATCGCTGAAGTCACCTAGCTAG